CTACTTTGAGGTGCTGCAACTAATTCGCGGGTAGCTATCAAGAAAACAAATGAAAACGTATTAATTAGAATTATATCATCTTCACCCCTCCGTATAATATTTGTCATAAGTTGTGTTTCATAAACCCAAATGTCAAAAATTGGAAATATGTCACGAGAAATGGCTGGTTTTCATTGATCCAATACATAAAATGCATCCAAATATTCAATGTTTCACGAAATCTTGTCTTTCACGGTGTGGATACGCCATCTTTTTGTTTCGCAATGGCTTCTCTGACTGTGTGAGCCCTGAAAATAATGTATCTTTTCAGAAGTGTCGCACGAAGACAAAGCTAAATCTTCCAGATGGCATTCACACAAGCTCGAATAACATTAGTATATCTAATAGCTATGCATCGAAATTGTTTACCTCCTCCTCCTCCTGCGTTCATCGCCTTAAAAAATGTGCTGAGCATCTGTAGGAGGGGGGCCATAGAGGAGACATAAAGAGACACCCTTTTAATCTTCAGATTGCAGGCAAATATGGAGTGAGGGAAATACACAATTATTCATCAGATTCCAATACGAATTTCAAATGGCACATGAATCACCTCGTTCGTCATCCAGCCCTTGTAATTGTGGCACCAGCACACGTACGACTCAGGATTGGAGCTGCTTTCGTTGAAATCGGACGACCTTCGCACTTTGGAGACGATGAGAGGGTGGTACATCCTGCTGCCGTTACTGTTGCACATAAAGGTCGTTTTGATGCGATCCTTGGCAGCTTTACGATCGATGAGCCTATCTGATCACGTATGGCAAGGCAGCTGCCCGGTGCCTGATTTTAACAAGTAAATTACTCTAATTCTCTGATTTTGAGAGTTGATTTTGTGTACCACCCTTATGACTCAGGGTAAAATTTTTGAGTTTATACGTTTTCTCTAGGATACCCCGGATTTTTCTGTACCCCCTGTCCACATACCTTCGCACCTAAGGCCTGGGGCATTCCGCTAGGGAACGGAATCTGCACATGACTACCCATAAGCGGACGGAATCTCTTACAAATTACCCGTTAGAGAACGGATTCGTCGAAGTAATATCCTGCCATTTGAACTTCCCGTTCTTACGGACAGGCCCTTCGTCATGTGTGAGGGAGAGCCCGGGGAACTCTAAAAGGGTGTGAGGCGTCCTGTGATCCAAGATACCAGAAAGCGAATTAAATTGCTTTCAATCGCTAAGTGGTGTCCCCTCCCATATGAGGGGCGGAAGCCGGGGGAGGGAAATAATAAGACCAGAGGAAGGAAACGCTTACTTGTGCCCCTTCTTCTCCCCACCCCTCCCCACCCCCCCACCCTCCCCAAAGTGCGTTTCGTACGGAATCAAACGATGGTAACATGTTCTGTCAAGGAATTATTGCAAAAACGCAAAAACGTACCACACACTAGTCCGTTTTCTGGACGGAATCGACGAAAGTTCAGTATGTTAACAGAGACCCAGCCGTAAATAACTTTAATTTCTAAGAGTAATTACCTGCTAGCGAGAGGGCTGAACGAAAGGCCTGCGCCACATCGCTGCACTGAGGCTCGGTGAAGGTGCTCACCAGTTGTGGCGGAGAGGGCCAATCACGTCACAGCAGACTGGGCATGGCGGGTTGCAGGCGGCTGGTACAGTTCGGAAAGGTTCAGGATGGTTCTGGACTCTGGACTCTGGACCTGCCAAAACGGCCGTTTCAGGTTCGCGGATATGGGTGCTTGGTGACAGCAAATTAGCGTGGTTCTCTGATCTGATCCATGGACAGATGTCCACCATTCGAAGAGCGACACATGGCTACACAGCTGAACTCCCTCACGTACGACCATCCGCGTCAGTAATGTAATTCGCGAATCTACTTTGAGGTGCTGCAACTAATTCGCGGGTAGCTATCAAGAAAACAAATGAAAACGTATTAATTAGAATTATATCATCTTCACCCCTCCGTATAATATTTGTCATAAGTTGTGTTTCATAAACCCAAATGTCAAAAATTGGAAATATGTCACGAGAAATGGCTGGTTTTCATTGATCCAATACATAAAATGCATCCAAATATTCAATGTTTCACGAAATCTTGTCTTTCACGGTGTGGATACGCCATCTTTTTGTTTCGCAATGGCTTCTCTGACTGTGTGAGCCCTGAAAATAATGTATCTTTTCAGAAGTGTCGCACGAAGACAAAGCTAAATCTTCCAGATGGCATTCACACAAGCTCGAATAACATTAGTATATCTAATAGCTATGCATCGAAATTGTTTACCTCCTCCTCCTCCTGCGTTCATCGCCTTAAAAAATGTGCTGAGCATCTGTAGGAGGGGGGCCATAGAGGAGACATAAAGAGACACCCTTTTAATCTTCAGATTGCAGGCAAATATGGAGTGAGGGAAATACACAATTATTCATCAGATTCCAATACGAATTTCAAATGGCACATGAATCACCTCGTTCGTCATCCAGCCCTTGTAATTGTGGCACCAGCACACGTACGACTCAGGATTGGAGCTGCTTTCGTTGAAATCGGACGACCTTCGCACTTTGGAGACGATGAGAGGGTGGTACATCCTGCTGCCGTTACTGTTGCACATAAAGGTCGTTGTGATGCGATCCTTGGCAGCTTTACGATCGATGAGCCTATCTGATCACGTATGGCAAGGCAGCTGCCCGGTGCCTGATTTTAACAAGTAAATTACTCTAATTCTCTGATTTTGAGAGTTGATTTTGTGTACCACCCTTATGACTCAGGGTAAAATTTTTGAGTTTATACGTTTTCTCTAGGATACCCCGGATTTTTCTGTACCCCCCTGTCCACATACATAACTCCGTAACCACGCCTTGTTCACGTGGACCACTAAACTGGCCCACACCATATGCTGCCAAGCCCACCTTCGTAGGCGGATACCCTTTTCTCCCATTAGACACTTGTGTTTTTTTCTCGCAGGATGTGGCACCACATCCGAGTTTACCACGGCGACTTCTGCCATACATGTACTCGCTGTACTAGTATGTGCCTCTGATTGGTCCCTTAGACATTTTTTGCAGCCACACACCTCAACAGCCATGCAATACTTAGGGAATCTTTTCTCGCACGCGCGGGCATATGCCCTTCTCGAACATTCAGGATGGCTCACGATGGCACCTGGCCTTCATGTCGATGGCACCACGTGATTCAAGAACAGACGATGAAACCCTCGTCTACTTAGCCCTATTCTTGCCCTCGTGTAATGCAGCAGCAGTACCCGCTTGTGTACCAGTTTAGCAAACTCATCTCACATCGCGTCGAACGTAAACTATTCCGTCAGCCTCTTTCCTCTCTTTGTCTCGCCTCGCCAGCCACGGTTGTCTTGGGTGACGCCGACGATGGCGGGGAGGATGATGATGACGCCCCGCCCTCACGTAGCTTTGCCCTTCTCTGCGGCTTAAACTTTTTGCGTCGCACGAACGCCTCTCCAGTAGACCCTCCTCCACTCCCGAAGCGTAGACTTGCCGCCCCCCCCCAATAGAGCCTCCACCGCTTCCCAGTCTAAGCAGCGACAAATGGGAGCGTGAAATGGAGGAGACGAATTTGTCAGTTGGCAAGCCAGCGGATCCTCCACCTTCAGAACCCGTGCCCTCGCCGCTCGCATCTGCATAAGCATCTGCAGAGTTTTCTACTCTAACAGGAGCTTCTACGGAAGTGCCTGATGCAGATAGAGCTTCTCTAGCACTGTAGTTCTCCAAGGAGAGAGTTGCTTTCAGAATTGTGTGTCTCATAGAGTAGCTTGACAAAGCTTGCACACACAAATTCACTAGAAACAAGAATACATAATATGATACAGAGTCAATCACTAATACTACCTCATTGAACAGTGCTAGAACGTTCCCACTAGAAAGTTTACATAACTACTTTCAACAGCACTTAGCCAAGTCAGCAATGGCAAGTAAAAATTACAGCACATGCTTAGTTGGAAAATTTCCCCAACCTAAAATTATTTGTTCAACAAAATTGTCAGCTGTTACGCACATTTCCGCTGTTACAAAATGTTGCATCACCTGTGTTCAATTTCACCTCAGGTAGTCTTGCCTTTTCGGTCCAGATCGGTTCATTCCGAAACTTCTGAAGGGGCGGAAGTTTACGCACTTTCGAAGTGGCCCCTTAGCGCAAGAAGGTTGTTTCTGCCGCATGGACTTTGCAGAAGAGAGTTTCGTGAGCTCTTTTTGCAGCAATCCCACATAAGAGGGTTCCGAACTCTTTTTGCAGACCTCCCACAGAAGAGGGCGGCTCTCCAGCGATTGGGCCCTTGCGCCAGTTCACCTGGGGCGCTTTCTACAGCGCATGCCGAATTTCGATTATGCCACTGGGTCGCCTGCAGAAGAGCATTCTGCGCGCAATTCTCCAGACAACATCCCATCTGTGATGAGAGCCAGCTGGGCCAAGCGCAGCACAGCATCATCAGGGGCGTCCATGCCGAGGTCCTTGAGGCCGGCCGGGTCCTTCAGGGAAGCCTCCACCTGAAATATGGCAAAAACGTGGGCACAACAGGCGAAAGGAAGCAAGCGAAAATGGCATGGTGAATAGACACAGTTCGAGGCTGACCACGCACTGTTGAGAAGGTAGCTATCCTTGTCATGCTTGGCAGAGATGACAACAGCACTGCCATGTGCTTGAAAGCTGCCATGCACAACACCAATGCCATGTGCAATGGTGATGCCATGGGAACAGAAATGTTAAGTGCGACAGTGGTGTCATGTGAACAATCATGCTATTTGCGATGGTGCTGCCATTTGCATGCCACAGAAGAAGCACTTACCCATGACAGGATGTGGTCGACCTCTCCATCATCCGTATAGAGCGGGCGACTCCGTCCGGTAAGGACCACAAGCATGAGCACACCAAAGCTGCACAGAGGGCAAGACAATGAAAGAATCAAGGGTGGAGTAATTGCACAACGGTGTTGAGATGGAACACGTTGAGAAAGTCAGGGCACATGTTGAGAATCCCAGAACAATTAACCCCAGTTCAATAATGAAGAGAATCAATCACCTGTAGACATCAGTGGCGCTGGTTGCCTTTGACGTCTGAAAGTAGATCGGATCCACATAGCCAGGAGTTCCCATGACTCTAGTCGTGCCCACATTGCTGCCTTCTTCCATCCTCACAAGCCCAAAATCTGCAATCTTGGCCTGGTGGAGGGTACAGCATTAATAGCCTTGGTAAGGAAATTTGAAGAAAAAACAGAGAATGATTTAATTTTACAGTCAAGCACACGAAAAATTGAACTCGATGGTGCTCCTCCAATTCCTGTCCATAAATAGCTCATGTTACGCCATGTTTCTACTCTTGTGTGTTTGCACCAACATCTTTCATACCGAATGTTGTGCATCAATAATACATGAAGTACTCGTTTCAACCATGGCCCAACTCATCGTTTCAGGCTCAACTGTTGACACTCATAAGCATAACCATTTGCTGACCAATCGGCGTAAGCTGCACGACCACAGCAGAAGGCCAGCTCATTTCAATAAAAAAACCAAAGCGCGGAATGGTGTGCCTAATGTTCTTCCTTTGATTGACACACAAAAGGTAAACCCTGGTGAGAGGAACAATGCAATAACATCACTGCTCTTCATGGCCTTTGATGGCAAGGAAGATCTTAGGAGACCCATGGAAGATTTAGTTAAAATAAAGGAAGCTGTGGAATGGAAGGGAGCCTTGCGAATGGTTAGACAAGTTAGACAAGCAATCATATGACCCATTCCAAGTTGCCCATGTAAGGTCATTTGCAAAAGTCTAACTAATTGGACTTGGCAATTGCAACTCTTGCACAATCTTCCTTGATTCAATTAATTTTACCCCAACCAAAAGCCCAAACGCACTTAACAACAAAGTTCCCCCTGTAACCAGACCCATGAAATCCCCAAAGATTTCCCACATGTACCATCTTCCTTAATTCCTGTTTACTTCGGCTTTACGATTGCATGATATGATGAGTACCTTCATAAAAAGGCTGAGAACGTGCATTGAGCTTGCCTGCATGTCTGCACCCAAAAGGATGTTGCCAGGTTTGATGTCGCGATGCACAAGGTTGAAGCTGTGGAGGTACTCAACGCCACGTGCAGCACCAATGAGGATGTCCAGCCGCTGCTTCAAGCTGAGATGAACGGGTGCTTCTGCAAAGATACAAACATGACGCAACATGAGCTTTTTTTTGGGTCATAATAGAAGGCAAAAATGCAGTTCGTTGAAAAATACTTACGTGTGCTGATCCACTTCTCAAGGTCACCATTCGGAACAAACTCGTAGATCAAGACTTGCTCTGGTCGTGTCCTCATGTCTCCTCCAACAGCAAACCCGAGCAGCCGAACAATGTGAGGATGGTTTTTGTCTGCCAGTTGCCGGACCTAGAGAGTGAATAATGTGTCATGAGAGAACGGATCGAGACGTGTACCAGATCGGGCGGGATTGAGAGGCATGTCACAACGGGATGGACTGAGGGGCGTCCAAATCTTTTCAGCTTGGATCAGAAGTTTCCTAAAATTGCTTGAGTGCACTGGTTTATGCTGGCTGGATCTGCTGGTTTATGGACTAACCTAGGTGAGGGGATAGTATGTACGCTACGATGGGCGCCATAGCGAAGACACGCACCTCTTTCTGAAAGTCAGCATCAAGCAATTTAGCTCGCTTGACAGCCCACGTTGTGGTGCCATCCCTTGGAGACACGCCCTTGTACACATCACCAAAGGTGCCGGATCTAAGCTTGTTGTCATCGGACCAGTTGCTCGTGGCTGCCATGACTTCCTCAAGGGAGTACTCGATGCAGTGAGAGGCTGCTACGCTGCCAGCCAGGCCTGCTCACGGGTAAGGAGTAAGGGTGCAGCACACTTTGCACAGATTTTGGTCTCCTGTGCAAATGATGTGCATGGAAAATTCATCTTCAGGGGTTAGAAAATAGCATCAAAAGGCGAGTCCCTGGAAAAATGGGCATCAGCACATGGCCGAGCGATGGCTCGTGAATAGACATGGTTAAAATGCGATGCGATGCGATATCGCATCGCATTTTGTCATATCGCGCGTGATATCGCAGCGATGGGATATTCAGTTTCAAAAACTGAAATCGCATATCGCGATTTAGGGTGCGATGTTAGAAGGTATCGCACCCATAAGTGCGATATTTCGCACGATGCGATTAAACATCGCATCGCATTAAGGGGTCGGAGGAGAAAAGCAAAACAACAAGGCCGGCTTTCCTACGTGCGCAAGGAATTAGGTGAGTGAAGTTTGACGGGAGAATGAGATATCGTGGCCCCTCTCTGATGTAAAGCGTGTTAGAGGGGCAGGGGTTGGATTCTGTAGACGCGAAGGGATTTAGTGCGGTTGAAGTGGTGGAAATTGGTTGGAGTTCCAACCAATTGACTTAGTGGGAGTCGAGATTGCAATCAACCCCCTAAATCCCTTTAACCGCACACCACCACATTCCATCCACCACCGCCCATGTCGAAATTTGAACCTCTAACCAACTCCCCTCCCTCAACCGCACTGCACTCCTTTTCAACTAGAAATCCCAACCCTTCCTCTCCAAGCTCCTCACAAACACCTCCTCGTCAATTACGCCAACCCCAAACAGCCGCGCGCAATTTCCGCACGCCATTACAATCAGAGAACCCTAAAATTTGCTAAGTTCAGGGCCCGCGCCCATGTCCCCCCCCCTTTCTGGGGCAATTCCGCGACGCGATATGCGGATGTATGGCGCGCGATATTTCAATATCGCATATCGCATTTTATCGCGCTGAAAAAACCGCGATAAATGCGCGATATCGCAAAAATTGCGCGATATAATCGCATCGCATCGCTGCGATTTTTTATGAGAAGAAATAAAAATCGCAATCGCAAAATACGATAAAATGCGATGCGATGCGATATACCCATGTCTACTCGTGAACCAGGCTCGAGTATGAACCAGACCCCGTAGTTAGGCTTGAGCATGAACCCGACCCGACCCGACCCGACTTGACTTTGCCCTACCTGATGCCGGGTTCGGGTCGGGTCGGGTCGGGTCGGGTCGGGTCAAGTCGGGTCGGAGCTCGGGAAATGTCAACCCGACCCGGGTTTAATAGGTCGGGTACTACCTGACCCGATTTCAGGTCGGGTCGGGTCGGGTTGGCATAGGGGCATGGACGGATAATAAGCCGACCCGACGCGTCGGGTTTTGTCCGTCGGGTCGGGTCGGGTTGACCCTCCGCAAATGTCGACCCGACCCGTCAAAAAGTCGGGTTCGGGTCGGGTTACCCGACCCGACCCGACCCGTTGCTCAAGCCTACCTGTAGTTGCTAAACCCAGTCTCGTATTAAGGATAGCCGAGCTAAGCCAGTCTAGGCTTGAGAATAATACCCGCGCGGGTCGGGTACCCGGACCCGGATCCGCTTTTAGGGCGGGTCGGGTATCCGGATTCCGGAATATTGCCCGGCGGGTCGGGTTCGGGTTACCCGGGCGGGTATTCGATACCCGTAACCCGAAACATTACCCGACAGGGCAGATAACGGGTACTAGGCTGGAGCAAAACCGGGTAATTACCTGACCCGACCCGATTTGCAATACCCGACCTCGGGTCGGGTAATTTCGGGTCGGGTCCAGGTCGGGTAATATGCCCAGGACCCTTACCCGGACCCGGCCCTAGGGGACGGGTAATACAATACCCGCCTGGCGGGACTGGGTATACCCGACCCGGTTACCCTGAAAAGCGGGTAATACTACCCGCCACCTACTAGCGGACATCCTAAAGTTGGGCTAGGCTAGGTAGGGTTCCTGAAAACACGACTCTCAAATGAGAGTCACGTTTTCTAGGGGTCGAATTTTGACCACCCAACTCCTTCCCTTTCACCGCACTGAACTCCTCCCCGTCTACAAACTCCAATTTCCACCCAAACTCCCTCCCTTTCACCGCACTGAACTCCTCCCTATCTACAAACTCCATTTTCCAACCAAACTCCCTCCTTTCACCGCACTGAACTCCTACCCATCTACAAACTCCAACCTCTTCTCCAACTCCCACCCAACTCCCTCCCTTTCATCGCACTTAACTCCTCCCCATCTACAAACTCCAACTTCTCCTCACAAATGCTCCACTCGTCCCCCATCACATCCAAAACCGTTTTGCCGCAAAATCTAGAACACAGCGCGACTTACGCCCATGTCTAGTGGAATACCCGACCTCGGGTATTTTTTACCCGACCGGGTCGGGTACCCGTTACCCGACACGTCGGGTAGCATTTCGGGTAGCGGGTATTGAATACCCGCCCAGGTAACCCGGACCCGACGCGCCGGGTAATTTTCAGGATTTCTGATACCCGACCCGCCCTAAAAGCGGATCCGGGTACCGGGTACCCGACCTGGGCGGGTAGTTTGCTCAAGCCTAACGGGTACCCGTCGGGTCGGGTACTTACTACCCGAGGTCGGGTATTCCACCTAGACATGGGCGTAAGTCTCGCTGTGTTTTAGGTTTGGCAGCAAAACGGTTTGGGAGGTGAGGGGGGACGAGTGTCGCATTTCATGAGGAGAAGTTGGAGTTCGTAGATGGGGAGGAGTCAAGTGCGGTGAAAGGGAGGGAGTTGGGTGGGAGTTGGAGAAAATGTTGCAGTTTGTAGATGGGGGGGAGTTCACTGCGGCGAAACGGAGGGAGTTTGGTTGGAAATGTTGGAGTTTGTAGACAGGGGGAAGTTAGGTTCGAAATGTTGGTGTTAGTAGACGGAGAGGAGTTGAGTGCGGTGAAAGGGAGGGAGTTGGGTGGTCAAAATTCGACCCCCCAGAAGCGCGAGTCTCATTTGAGAGCCAACCCCGTTTTTAGAAGCCCCACTAGTAGGTGGCGGGTAGTAATACCTGTTTTTCAGGGTAACCGGGTCGGGCATACCCGGACCTAGGCTTGAGCACACTACCCGCGCAGGTCGGGTACCAGGTACCCGGATCCGCTTTTAGGGCGGGTCGGGGGTATCGGGAATCCTGAAAATTACCCGGCAGGTCGGGTCCGGGTTACCCGGGCGGGTATTCAATACCCGCTACCCGAAATGATACCCGACACGTTGGGTAGCGGGTACCCGACCCGAAATCGGGTAGCGCATCTACCCGACGGAACCAGCGCGACATTGATCGCGCTGGTAGAGAAACTTCAGCACGTTTTTAGGTTACGTTGCTGCTAGGTCACGTAAAGCATTGTAGAGTGGCTGGCAGGGGTTGGATTTCGTAGATCCAGATGTATTCAGAGCGGTTGAATTGGGGGATATTGGTTGGAATTCCAACCAATCGAATTTCCCCAATCGAATTTGCAACCCAACCTGAATCCAACCAACCACACAGCACCACATTGGTTGGACTTCCAACCAGTTGACTCTGGTTGTTTTTTTATCAATCAAACCCCCTAAAACCGCACACAACCCCATCCCAACTAGAAAACCCAACCAACTCCCCACTCAGGCCCCACTCAGGCCCCACTCACGCCCCACTCACGCCCCACTCACCAGGGTAAAAAAAAACGCCGTTTTTTTCAAAAAAATACCGTATTAAACGGTAACGAATTAAACGGCCGTTAAATACGAAAAAAACGGTGAAAATTGTGCAAAAATAGGTTGGTTAAAAAAAACGGCCGAAATATTTAAAAAAGTGCAAAAAAATCGGACGAAATGCGCGGATCTGGCATTTTGCCCGCCCAAATGCACGGATCTGGCATTTTTCCCACCAAAATGTGCCAGATTTTGCGTTTTTTGTGGACGAAATGCATGGATCTGACGTTTTGTCAGCCGAAATACGCAGATCTGGCATTTCGCCTGTCGAAATGCGCGGATCTCGCATTTGGGCGGACGAATGGCAGACGATTAGGCTGTCTAGCAAAAAAAAAAAAAAAAAAAAAAAGATGCTCTATTTAAAAAACGGCTTTTTTTTTCAAAAAATCCCCGAAAAAAACGGCCGAAGAATACGGACCGTATTTTTCGAAAACCGTATTTTTGAACCTTGCCACTCACCACACCAGAGCTGTTAAAGATCTGGCGCACCTCATACTCCCTCCCGCAACTGACGTTTTTTAAGCACTATCTAGTTCGTAGGTTTAGTAGCCCAACAGGCTAGGAAAAAGCGGGTATCACTACCCGCTTTTCAAGGAAACTGGGTCGGGTATACCCGGACCCGCCAGGCGGGTATTAATTTACCCGCCCCCAAATCATGGGTCCGGGTATTGGTCTTGGGCATGTTACCCGACCCGTACCCGACCCGAAAATACCCGACCCAAAGTCGGGTATAGCAAAACCGGGTCGGGTCGGGTAAATACCCAGTTTTGCTCAAGCCTACCCAGACCCACCAGGCGGGTATTGTATTACCCACCCCCTAAGGCCGGCTCCGGGTAAGGGTCTTGGGCATATAACCCGACCCGGACCCGCCCCGAAAATACCCAACCCGAGGTCGGGTATTGCAAAACCGGGTCGGGTCGGGTAATTACCTGGTTTTGCTGAACCCTAAGCCAGACCATGTAGTCGGCTTGACCCACTGTCGAGGACGAGTGGATCTCGTGTACGAGCCAAATCGAGATTCAACTTGTCTCAAGCGGAGTCAAGCCCTGACCCAGTAGTTTGCTCGACGGGCTCGTAATAAACACCGTGGACGACCCGAGAACCTGGTGGGCATCGTTCAGGATAACGGATCTCTCTGGCTTGGATCTGGCGGGTTAAATCCTTGCGAGCAAGCCAAAGGAGGCTTGCAAGCTAACTGACTCATGAAAAGTCGACCCAGCTCTGCTTGAGACTCACACGGTGCTGCCATTTTTACATGAGCCACAAGGCCGGCAGTTGCTCGACTCAGCTTGTGCTGACGCGAGGACGATATGAGCCAGGAAGGAGTGGGCCCTTGCCCATGTGTAAGATACACACACCTCACTTGGCTTGGATCGGAGGATGGAATGAAAGTCCCCAAAAACTGAGGGAACGTAGGTTACTGATCGAGACTTGAGAAAAAGACCCAGTCGGGTCCGGTATTCCCAACCCGACCTGAATTTCTCCCCAGCTCAGGTCGAAAGCCCGGTCCGACCGGGCCGGGTCGGGTGGGACCTGTTGGGTCAACTCAAACCACGAACCGAATACACCCTAAACTGTCAGGTAACCTATGGACTGAAGGGTCAGGTCGATCAGACCCGAGGCAAGGTCATGATCGACCATTCCGCCCGTCAAAACTGCGCGCCCGAGAATTTCGCCTGTCAGATCCGCGTGGATCTGAGGTTTCGCCTGCCAGATCCGCAGGGGCGAGCATTCCGCCCATCAGATCCACGCGGACGTTTCACCTCTTATCTGAGTGGCAGGTTGCCCCTGGGCGGGCCGGGTCGACCCGACCTGCCAGTAACCAGTTTGGTCCGACCACGTAAGAGGGAGAAGGAGATATTTGGGTTTACTGCCTCTTACACAATCTCCATCTGTGCCCTGTGGTTGGTACCTATTGCACCAAACAGAGCTGTTAAAAAGCGAGGGAAAAATGGCAGAGGAGAGAGGGCAAGAAAAGATTTCTTGACCTTCAGAATTCCCAAGGGGAACATGCTTCCTCGCTTTGATGGCTGTAGCTGCTCGTTTCGCTGCTCCTATATAGTAGCCTCTCCATAGCAGCATGCCAACCAGCAGCAGCAGCAATGAAGCCACAGCAGCCACAGCAATGCCAGCAATGGCTGCTGCTGACAGACCACCTCCAGATTCGGAGGTCGACGTTCCAGGTGAGGGGCGGGATGCCAAAGATGAGGAAGAAGGTGGTGGAGAATCAGTTATTGTAGATGGGGTGGTTGTGCCGGGCACTGGTGATGAGGCGGGGAGCACGGGAGGAGGCAAGGGGTGGGATGGACATGAAAGGAAGGGGTTGAGACAAAACACCATACACGTTTGGTGGGAAGCAGAGTTAGTGCAGCAACAGTTCTGCCGATACTTTCAACTGACAAACTGTTCCTTAATGTATAGAAAAAGGCCAATGCACAGAACCACATGCCGCGAAGACAAAAAATGGAAAGGAGGTCAGTCCAGAAACTCTTTGGCTCACGTGATGCTTGCTGGACACAGGTGGTGCAGAAAGAGGGGCACTCGCGGCAAAACGCGCTTTGAAGTTTTTGTTTTGTCACACATGGGGTGGAGTCAGAAGGGCATGTCACTGCAGTTCCATTCAGATTCCTGGATGTGCAAAAAAAAAAAATTGTTGTCCAAGAGAACAAATTGTCGATGCAATGGGACATAAGGACTACGCAACTGAGTTTCATAAACCTGTTGAATAGGAAAAGGAAAACCTTGCAATGTTGCCATAATATTGGGGGGGGGGGGGGGGGGGGGGGGGGGGGGGCGGGGAGGGGGAGGGGTTGTTGAGTAACATTGCTGTGGGAAAATAGGAAGCAACTCTACTCGTTCTTGTGATATTGTCATACAGCATCTGAGATAATGCTCACTACATGCTTACTACAGTATATGCTTCCTAGTGCTCATAGTTAACTAATCCTTTCACACACATGCTTACAAACCAACAGTTTCATGGCAACGCCTGCCCGCATACCTTCAGGCGTTCATACTCCCAATCTGGGATGTTGCTCTGCCAGCCAATTCATGCCGAGAATGGGCATGTGGGGTTTGGCTGCGGATTACATGTCATGTCAACGCAATGAAAATAACACTCACAGGTCACGAAGATTTGTGAGCTTGCCAATAGAAGCAGGAATTGTGCCCACCAAGCTATTGTTGCCTAGGTCTCTGATCAGAGACCAGTGAAGGGCACGGATAGAGAAAGAAGGGCATGAGAAGTGGAAAGAGAAGTGGAAATTGTACTTCTGGTGCAACAAATTCTTCCATGGCGTCACGATACCAATTCATCCATTAGCAGCCAGCTGAAATTCTGACCATATAGTTAGAGGAGGATGAGAACGAGTAGGGTGAGCCTGAACCAAGGAGAACAGTGGTTGCAGTGCAGTAGGCGAGACACAACGAAAAACGAAACTCACAAGCTACGAAGTTTTGTGAGCTTGTCAATGGAAGAAGGAAAACTGCCCGTCAAGGTATTGAAGCCAATGTTTCTAGATTATGAAGGGCATGGATTGGGCAAGAGAAGTAGGGAAAAGATAGATCATGGATGCGCGTTTAATATCTTGTGGTAAGCTTGAGTCGAGCTTATGACGAGCACACACGAGACTCAAACGAGCCTCATGTGAGACTCAAGAGTCTCAAAAGACACGCTCACTGAACGCTCGCTCCAGCCTCCTCAAGCAGGGCCCTCACATAGTCCCCCAGGAGCATCAGCGCTGACACGGCACCGCCAACGATGTCTACAGCTGCAGCCGAGTCTACGCTCGCCGATACTGTCCGCATCACGGCGAGCAGGCGCGGGTCCAACACGGTTCCCGAGGCGGGCACAGGCTGCACTCGCGTGGACACGACAGCCAGATCAGCTGCAGCCATCGCGCAGCGCTGGAGCGGATCGTGAGGCATCTTGCACGGGCTCACTGAGCTCCGTAGAACGGAGTGTGAGTCCGTCAGCATCTCCACAGCATACCCCATCGCCCTCTGCGCGTGCCAGAGCCGACGAAGCGTGGCGATTGGGATCGCAGTCTCCGCCAGCCGCTCCCTCCCCCGCAAGCGCTCCAGCTGCGCCCTCTGCGGCATCCGCAGCCCACCCGAGCGACGACGCCCCTGGTCCCCAGGAGGCGAGTCCTCGCCCGTGGACTCCGCTCCCCCCATCTCCGCTGCTTCTGCCCCCCCCTCAACTCCAGTCGGTGACGCCAGCGAACGGCGGGGGGGGACAAAGGGCGCTGTCGCCCGCTCGCCGAACGATGCCGGTGCCACCATCGGCGGTGGGCCACGGGACCATCCCGCCACCGACACATCCGGGGGCGTCGGCTGCCAGGGCGGCAGTATCTCCGCGGACCGCACGTCCATCCGACGCGGATCGAAGGGACCGGCCGAGGGAGGACTGGCGGAGGGGGTGCGGAGGGAAGGGACGCCAAGAGGTGCTGGCTGTCAAGGAGCGGGAGAGATGTTACACTGCGGGGAGGGAATGGCGGCGTCGGTGCCTGAGGAAGGGGCAAACGCACGGGCGGCAAGTGCGCCTGCTGGTACTGCTGGGGCGCCAGAAGCTGCGGAGAATACGCCAGAGCCTGCTGGGGTTGGGCGACACTGCGGAACAAGCCCTCGAGAGTCGCCGCGGCCCGCCCTAGGCGCCTCTCCGCCGCGGACCCACGGTTACTCCCCCCGCCAGCCCTCCAGCCGACGCGCTGGCCCGAACGCCCGCGCGGCGCCTGCGGAGTCCGGCGCTGCTGCCCAGGCCCCGCCTGTGGGCGGCGCTGAGGCGTTCCTCGGCGGGCGGGATGCTGCTGGCGTGGTGACCGCTGCACCTCGCCACGCGCCACTGGTTCACGTCCAATCTCCACGGCGCGCTCGGGGGATTTCTCCTCGTGTCTCGGGGGCGCGGCAGTCCTGCCCCGCGACTGCCCCCGCATCCGCTCGGGAGTCTGTCGGCGAGCCGTCGAGGGGCCGAGGAGCCCGCGCTCCCAATCCCGGCTCGACGGCGCTGGAGGACTCGCCCGACCTTGGGGCGACTTGCTGTCCCCAGTACTCTCCAAATCGGCAGAACGCTCCCGCGCTGGTCGCTCCATCCCGAGGAGGCGCGCCGCACTCGGCACCCCCCACGACTCGGCACGAAAGCCGAACGATGACCAGGGCCGCCCCGAGAGGAAACCACGGAGGCGGTCGCGGAAGACTCAACGCACGGACGGCCGGAGGGCGCGGTCGCGGGGCGGCAAGGCGTGGCAATCTGTCCTCCGATGGAGGACCACTGAACGGATTCCAGCAGGCAGCGAATAGGGCTTTAAATGCCTCGGAACTGCAACGAACAACTGATGAGGAGGAACGGGCGGACGGAACTTATATACCAGGGGACCAGGGAGACCCCACGACTGCAACCTCCAGCGAGGAGGAAAACGTCGAAACAAACAGGCGCGCTGGAGGACGAGAGACTGACCCATCTCCCAGATCCAGGGGACGAGGGTCCAGCCGCTTGCACAATACTCGGGCACCGCTGGACACCCACCCCCAGGCAGCCCAGCAGTTGTCCCCGGAAGAACTGGCGAATGACCCCTCCAGATTCGCCGTCATCGCCACTTGGGACGTCGCAGTTCTCTGCGACAGTCGCCAACCCCCTCTCTCCCGCCGGTTACCCCCCCAAATCCGCCAACTTTTCGCGCTCGCCCTTCTGACACCTCTCCTTTTCCTCGCCAAACATCCAACCTCCATCGAGGGTTGGATCTTGTTCCTTTACCTCCCGCGCCTCACACTTCGCCTACCCTCGCCACGACGCCCTGACTGGCCCGCGACGGAACGACGACTTCGACAATTTCTCGCGGGCCAGTGGGACACACTGTATCAAGCAGCTGCCTCTGCTGTCACCCTGCCACCCCCTCCCCGCCACGTACCTGACACTCTCGGGAAAATATCCCGCGCCGAGGGCTTGGTACGACGAGGCAGTTTGCGACGGGCACTGCTCGCGTTGACTTCGACCCCAGTCAGCAAGTCCACCCCCACGGTCCTGGACGTGCTGAAGTCAAAACACCCCCCTCCGCTTGTCGAAAACCTCACCTGGCCACGGCTCGACGAAAACTGCAGGCCACCGACAGTCGATTTCGCTACGTTCGCGAAGCTGCTCTCTCGCTCCGAAAATGGAGTTGGGGCAGGCCCCTCGGGGATGACTTTCGAGCACCTTCGCGATGCCTCGCTGTCCAACCCCACCGTCGCCACAAATCTTCACCAGCTCGTCCACCGGTTACTCGCGGGTAACCTGCCGCACGAGGTCAGCCAACTCGGTACCTCCTCACGCCTCCTGGCCCTTACCAAGCCCGATGGGGGTACCCGCCCCATCGCAATAGGAGAATGTCTCCACCGGCTAGCAGCAAAATCCGCGCTAATCTCCGCCACGCATTCCGCGCAAGACTACTTCCTACCACACCAATACGGGGTGGCCATCAGAAGCGGCGGAGAAGCCATCATCCATGCCACCAGGGGCTTTACCTCAGCGCGCCCGGGCTCACTCATCCTACAAGTCGACCTTTCAAACGCCTTCAATAGCGTTGACCGCGCGGCCATCATCCACGCAATCAACACCTCGCCCCTGCGCCCGCTCCTCCCCTTCATACAATTCTCCTACGGAGCACCGTCCCTGCTCTACCTCGACGCTGAGTTCGACAGCCCACCCCTACTCAGCGCGCGGGGAGTTCGCCAAGGGGACCCAATGGGCCCCCTCCTCTTCGCAGCTGCCATCCACCCAGCGCTCCAGACAACCGCCGCGGCCCACCCCGAGGTCCTCTGCCTCGCGTACGCCGACGACATCACCTTCGTCGGCGATCCGGACGCCTGCACCTCGGCGTTCCTCAATTTCACAGCGGCCATGGACCGCATCGGTCTCTCCCACAACCCCGCGAAATGCGCGGCGTGGTCAGCCGAGCACCCTGCACCTGACCGCCTTCCCCCAGGCATACCTTTCAACACAGAAGGCGTCCGCGTGCTTGGCAGCTTTATAGGCACAGCCGAGGGCACAGCCGCATTCCTCCGCACCCAGCTAGCCCTGCTAGCCGAACCCCTCGCCACACTGGCCACCATGGACCCTCAGTCCTCATCCCTCCTCCTCACACGCTGCGTATCTCGGCGTGTCTCATACTTAATCCGCACCACCCCCCTTGACTTCCTACCCCTGGACGTCTGGTCCGACTGGGGTCGGGAGCTCTTCTATACCCTCCTGCGTGCCTGCAACCTCCAACCACCTCGGGGCGAGGTGGAGCGAGCGCGCACTTGGGATCAAGCGTCCCTCCCTCCCTCTCTTGGCGGACTGGGTCTAACCGACCCCGCAATTGAGGGATACCCAGCCTACCTCACCAGCCTCACCCAAGCCCAGGGCCTCTTGGCTGACCTCCCAGCAGCGTCAGGAGGGCCCCTGGCCGACGCTGTCCGGCACCTCACGCCACCTTTCACCAGCCCCACCCACTTGCATACCTGGCTGGCGAAGTGTGAAACGGCGATGCCCCCACGAGCCCGGGAGCTCCTGCACTCCGAGAGGACAGAACCCTCCGGCTCCCCACTCCAACACCGCTTATCCCTCGAAGTCCAGGCCGTGCGATACGCCGGCCAGGTGGCAGCCACGCGGACAATGGACCCAAACCCACTCTCTGGGCACACCCAACGCCTCTTTTCCCTGGCTGGATATGGAGCAGGGGACTGGCTTCATGCCATCCCCATCTTCCCATCCCTCCGCCTCGAAGCTCCACACTTCGCCATTGCCCTGGCCTTCCGCCTCGGCCTTCCATTCCCAGCCCCCCGCACTTGCAACTGCGCCGAGGAATTCGAAATCCTCGACACCAGGCTGCCCAACCACCTGCTTCGGTGTGGCACCGGGCACGGACGGACGGACACCCATAATGCTCTACGGGACGAGAGCATACGGATGGCCCGAGATGCTGACTTTATAGTCACCAAGGAGACCACCATCTACAGCCCCGTTGACGGCCACAAGGCCGACCTCGCCCTCCGAGACCGCAGTTCCGGAGCCGTCTGGATCTGTGACGTCACTGTCACAGATCCCATCAGCAGCCGGGACCCGGACGCTAGAAAAGGACGCGGATACATGGCCCGGGAGCAAGCCGACAAGAAAATCTCCCATTACCGAAATCGGGCTCCGTATGTCGGATTTTTCCCACTTGCAGTCGAGACATACGGCTGCCCCTGCGCCGAGGTCCCTACCTTCCTGAAGCTACTGGCTGACACAGGGGCCAGGAGACTTTTCAATGCGGACCCCAGCTCCTACCAGGCAGCGAAACTGCTCCACCAGTTCCGCCAACGCTGGTCAGTGACGCTGCAACGGGCACAGGCCTTGGCTTACCTGGGCAAAGTTAATGAAGCCTCCCCTGCCCCCCACACCCCAGTGGGCACCCATGACGCCGACATGGCCCCTGGGGACTGCTTTGCCATAGCAGAGCCCCTCGGGGAGCTCGAGTAGATTCGAGCCCTTAACCGTGCACGTACCTTGACTTGCTGCCCCTTGCTTGCCTAGCCTGTACTCAGTTTTCCCAAACAATAAACGGACCGCTTGAGACATGAACACGTGAGACGTGAACACTTGAGACATGAACACGTGAGACGTGAACACTTGAGCCCGGGCAGTGTGGAGATTGTGGCTCAAGGAGGAGCTCTTATGGCACATCCTGACAAGCCAGTCGAAGGTAGGATGAGCGGCACCTGCGCGGTCACGGGCCACGATGAATTCATCAAGCGCCAATTGGTGACAGGGAAGAGAACATGCAGGATTTACGCCCGACCTGCAGGCTGTAAACAGCACTGTTGAAGTAGGTGGGGCGGCTGACAAGTAGACATGAGCAAAGAGGCGAGGAAATCCTCGCCTCGGAATTTCGAGTTTCGAGGAGAGGTTTTTCCGGAATATCCTCGGCAAGGATTCCTCGCCTCGACTCGTCGAGGACTCGAACCTTTCCTCAGGGTTTTTAGTTGAGGAATGTTTTTCCTCGTGATAATTTTGACCCTCACAGGACGCCACTTTTCCCAGCGAGGCAAGTATTCCTCGCCCGGGGGATGGGGGGGGGAGGGGGGGGGGGGGGGGGGGGTTTGGTTTAGGGTTGAGCAAACTACCCGACCGGGTCGGGTACCCGGTACCCGGACCCGCTTTTAGGGCGGGTCGGGTATTTGAAATCCTGTAAAATACCCGGCGGGTCGGGTCCGGGTTACCCGGGCGGGTATTTGATACCCGCTACCCGAATTTCTACCCGACGACGCGGGTAGCGGGTACCCGCCGGGTCGGGTATTACATACCCGAGTTCGGGTAAGTACCCGAAGTCGGGTCGGGTATACCCGACCCGAAATCGGGTCGCGCTGCTACCCGTCGGCAGCAGCGCGACCTAAATTGCGGGGGGTTGGAAATTTCGACCATTTGGTCGAAATTTCCAACCCAACTTTCCAGATCTAGTTTCGTTTCGTCCCTACCATAGATGCGCCACCTTAATACAGCACCCGCATTAGTCTAAACACTCCCCGCATCCTAAACGTGTTCTCCCAACGTTACTTAGGGTTTAGGTAACACAAAACGGGGGGGAGAACTTGGTTGCGTGTGGGAGTTAGGGTTTTGGAGATCTAGAGTTACACGAACTATTCGCCCACTCGAAATCCTTGCCGTAGCGAATAGTTTAGGGTTCGGAACTGTCCCATCATGCAATTCTACGACGGTGACGGGCGTCCCGTCCCTTTCGGGGGCGGGAGGGTTGAGGGTGGCGGGCTCCAGAGCGGTGCCATTCCTGGAGCATCTCTGACAGGCCTCCCTCTCCCTAGCGGCCGCCAGAGTTTTGCATTGGCGAGCGGTGTCCGTGCGGATGAGGGGGGAGAGGACGATGACTTCCTGGAAGAGGTGGAGGCGGGCGATGCAGGAGGGGGGGAGCATGGGGCAACCCATGGGGGGGGAACGGTGGGCAGGGTGGTGGAGGGGGGGGGGGGGCGAGGGTGACCAGGAGTGGCATCCCAATGCGGAGGAAGAGGTGGATGAGGTGTCAGGAGATGGACCGGACAAGGGGAGGGGGAGGGGAAGGGGAGGGGAAGGGGGAGGGGAGGGCGAGGGGGAGGGGCAGGGGAAGGGGAGAGGGAGGGGAAGAGGTCGCGGCCGTGGTGGACCTGGTGGGGGGAGGGCAGGGGCGATTGGTGCCGGCAGTGGCAGTAATAGTGCGGGGGAGCTGGAGGTCGGTGGTGGGGATGCAGCGCGCTTTGGGGATGCTGAGGGCGTGGGGGAGGGGGGTCATGCGGAGTGTGGTACGCCTGCGCCGGGGCGGCCTGTCATCCCACGTGGGGGGGGAGGGGGCACGGGTGGACAGCATAAGCGGTCGCGAGCGAGCGACAGCTCTCAGGTGACAGTCGGTTATTGGGGTACTGTCCCTGGGCTTATGCAGGGGATGTTCTTTCAGCCAGAGGGGGAGGATGGGGCGCGATGCTGCAAGGTATGCGAGGTGCCGATCGGTTGGGGTGAGAGCAGCACTGGTTCGGCGTGGAAGCACATGCGCTCGTTCCACATGCCTCACCTACAGATCTGGTATCGCCTATTCACTGATCCCAACAAGCAGCCGGGGTTGGAGTTTCCGGCGAAGGGGTACCCGGGGGTTCCAGGCGGACCAGACCCGTGGGAGCACGCTGACGCATACCCCGACCTCCAGAGTGCGGGCACGGGCGGTTCGGGTGCGAGTGTCGATGCGGGTCAACGGCAGATCCCTCAGTTCTTCGGTCGTCACGTCACGCAGGAGCGTCTGCGCCACGCTCTCATCGAGCTGTTCGCAGACGCGGCCCTTCCGTTTCGCCTGGTCGACCGCCCCTCGGTAAGAACTGACAGAGACAAGTTTCTAAGCACATGCGCTCGTTCACATCTGCGCATTTTCAACCTCCCACGTGTCGTTATGGATTACCACCCCGACCATGTATAGCGGCACTTCTGCACACGTCCACCTACTCCCCCCTCCCCCTCCCCTGCCCTCCCTTCCCCAGTTCCGCCGCTACACCCGCCTCCTCAATCCTCCCGCTGCAGAAATGCTCGGCTCCCGTTTCCGCCTCGCTCGCGACATGCTCGTGCAGAGCGAAGCCGCGCGTGAGCGCCAGCTGCAGGACATTGTCGGCGATGGTGCGGCAGGGAAGGTCTCCCTCACCACGGACATTTGGTCCAGCCCGGCGCAAGATGCTTTCCTTGCCGTCACAGCGCACTGGATCACGACAGACTTTCAGCTGCGTCAGGCGCTGCTAGAGTTTGAGGAGATTCAGGGATCGCACACCGGGGTGCTAATTGCAGAGACATTGGAGAAAGTCATACTGGATTGGGGGCTGAAGGACTCTGTGCTGGGCATCACGACGGACAATGCCGAAAACAACATCAAGGCACTCAAGATACTGACTGGCGACCCGGAGACCGAGGACGCCCGCAACCCACCAGTGTTGAACCCCGGATTCTTCTTCAGGTGTGTGGTGCATGACATGCCATGACGTCCCATGCCATGCCATGCCATGCCATGACATGACATGCCATGCCATGCCATGCCATGCCATGCCATGCCATGACATGCCATGACATGCCTTGACATGACATGACATGCCATGCCATGCCATGACATGCCATGCCATGCCATGCCATGCCATGACATGCCATGACATGCCATCACATGCCATGCCATGCCATGACATGACATGCCATGACATGCCTTGATATGACATGACATGCCATGACATGCCATGCCATGCCATGACATGCCATGACATGCCATGCCATGCCATGCCATGCCATGCCATGACATGCCATGACATGCCTTGACATGACATGACATGCCATGACATGCCATGACATGCCATGCCATGCCATGCCATGACATGCCTTGACATGACATGACATGACATGACATGACATGCCATGCCATGCCATGCCATGCCATGCCATGACATGCCATGACATGATATGCCATGCATTGACATGCCATGACATGACATGCCATGACATGACATGCCATGCCATGACATGCCTTGACATGACATGACATGACATGACATGCCATGCCATGCCATGCCATGCCATGCCATGCCACGCCATGCCTTGACATGCCATGCCATGCCATGCCATGCCATGCCATGCCATACCATGTCGTGCCATGCAATGGACTTTCTCCCTTCAGGTGTCTGGCGCACATTCTGAACCTCGCGGTCCAGAAGGCACTTGGTGTCCCAGCAGTCCTCGAGCCGCTCAAGCGTATGCGGGAGATTGCGTCGTTCATTGGGTGGAGCACGACGCGCTCGGACGCGTTCGAGGACGAGCAGCTGCGACTGGCGGGTCAGGGCGGCCACGTTCTCCGCCTCATTAGCGACACCCCTACGCGGTGGGGGTCGTCCTTTGAGATGGTGGAGCGCTTCCTGAAGCTGAAAGATCCTATCTTGCTGTACTTCTCAGGACTCGAGGTATGGTTCCCAATCTACTGGGTTGCCATAATTCGCGTGCATGTTTTTATTCCATTCGGAAATGCTGACAGTCTCCCAGGTCCGCCCATGCGTATTACCCTCCCCAAATATGAGTTTCCCCCTCTGCTACTGCGTGTTCCTCTGAATCCCCCATTCCACAGTCGGCACGTGACAAGCGGATGCGCGAACAGGCTGCGCGTGTCCGCCTCGCGGACGCGCATTGGGACGCTCTGAGGGTTCTGGTGGAATTCCTCAAGCCCTTCCATGACATCACTACTGCGGCAGAGGGGTCGTTGTACCCCACTGCCGCAGCAGTGGTGCCGCAGTACAACCTGCTAATGGATGAGCTTGAGCGCCAATACCACGACCCAAGTACCGGGGACCTGTGCAAGTTGTTGTCGGAGGCAGCTCTAAAGGTACTGAAGAAGTATGTGTACGGCATCAGCATGGAGCTGGCAGTGGCGACATTTTTGGATCCCAGGTTCAAGCAGCTGTACTTCCAGCTCGAACGGTGGGAGGGGGCCCACCCTGAGCTAGCGGGAGAGGCCGCTGGGGGGCGTAGGGCGGTGCGCGACGTCACATTGGAGCAGGTGGTGACATGGGTCAGGGCGCGCTTGCAGTCTTACCTGGACGAGCAGAGCAGGCGTGCGGTGGACGGGGGCCAGGAGGGGACGAGCACAGGTGGAGCGCGGGACGGGGGGGGAGGAGTGTTGCCAGGGCCCGAGGTGGGGGGCGCTTGTTTGACATGCTCGGCTCGGCAATGGCAGAGGTTGAGGCGAGAACGGGAGTGGCCGCGCCGAACGAGGTTCAGAGGTACCTGCAGGAGGCGCGCTTGGACATGGACGGGTGTCCGCTGCAATGGTGGCGCACGCGCTCGTCGTACCCGGGGTTGCAGGCGATGGCACGAGACTACCTTGCCATCCCTGCAACCTCGGCACCGAGCGAGCGGGCGTTCAGCCAGGGGCGGAACGTGGTCACCTGGCAGCGTCAC